CCTATAGTCTTACACTGCTAAATTAGGGACTGCTAGCGCAGATAGCCCTCGTGTAGCTTCGCGCGAAATTCAAAACAAAACAAACAAATTATGCAGGAACTTAATGAAATTAAGTACCGTGTACCCAATTTAAATGGCAAGCGTAGCTGTTTTTGTGAAAGAAATTAATAAGTATTGGGCTGATACGATACGTATTTAGATACAAAAATTTTACCAATGGTTTGTTACAAAGTTTGGCAGTCTTCACAATAAAATTTAATTATAAACAGATGTATAATGTTAAGAGCTTTAAATTATTTAGTGTAAGCAAATGTAGTTTCCTGCTACAATTTGAAGTAATTCTAGAAAGAAAAAAGGATAATTTTGATTTATCTTGTATTTTTATGATGGTTACGAGACTGGTCAAAGTGACCCACTTCACATGAAATTAGTGTAATGAATATAGCCGATAAAAAATGAAGATTTATCGAAAAAAAGTTGGAAATATATTTCGGAGGTTTTAGAGATTACACAAAAGAAATATGTTAATTTTTAGATGTTGAAAAGTATATGTAATCTTAACATGAAAATATCTTTACACTCGGAGCAGTGACTACTTTGACTCCATATAATAAAAAATAATTTTTAGAAAAAATACTTTATTAGGAATTCAGATTTTTTCTGTAAAAAAGACTTATAATGTTTACTGAAAGCTTGCGAAATGTCGTGAAGACACACAAATCGTATCATATCATATCGGACGATGTATCGATACAATCATATTACTGTTTCACAATACGATACTATAAGACTATCGTATCGCTGTATCTCACATCCCTAATAAGCATGGATTGGTAGAGAACGTATCTTCTTTATATATGATAAATAGCCAGTCATTCATATAGATAAGATTACGTACATTCATGTGAAGGAAAATTATAGCATGACACGAACTGGCTCAACTTTAAATAGCTAACCAACTGCTTGTTAAGGGTTATATATGTGTGTGTATTATCTATGATAACAAAAGGGCGTGTTTGTGTGTGTATGACCTCCATAACTCCAAGAGGAAAGAACCTAGAAATCTGAAATTTTGCACCCATACTAAATGGACCCTGAGGGTGTGCACCTGGGTATCATTATTTATCTTATATACGTGCGTATGTGCATCTTTTTAATGAAGCAAGCTAGCGAAAAACCACTTAGAAAAGAAGTGCTTCCTTATATAACAACTTCTAGTATATAGAAAAGCCAGTGCGTTTTGGTAACAATGCGTTCTAACAATGACTTTTATGTCATGTTGCTTAGCAAAAAAAGTATATAGGATATACTTTTGTGCTAAAATGGGGTCAGAATACACGCACTAACATAGTCATATAGAATACATCAATCTAATAACCCGAGCGAAGCCGGGTACTTTCGCTAGTTAATAATAAATATCACAACATTTAATTCAAGTAAAGCTATAAAATTAAGTTTTCTCCACTAACAATAAGCAAGAAAATTATATTACAGTCAGTAAGATATCTAGAGCGTAGTAGTTGTCTTGTTTGATAAACAAACAAGTTTAAAGCCAGACTGTTAACACCACTAGAGCGAAGTAGTTGTCTTGTTTGATAAACAAACAAGTTTAAAGCCAGACTGTTAACACCACTAATGAACACTGTACTGTGATAGTATTGAGAAATAAGTGATATAACCATGTCTGCTGCATGATATGTGATAAATTGGATTTGTTTATAGGGATTTATAATATTTTTGTTTTGTAACGAAAACTAACAATATTACAGTTTGAACAGAAGCAGAAAAACAGAATTTTGTTGCTTAAAGCTAGTTTCAGAGTTTCAGTTACAAGTTCCTCGTGAATTTTTAATTCCTGCTCCTCCTCACCTCCATGCCCCACAGTGGCACAGCGGTATGTCTGCGGACCTACAACGCTGGAAACCGGGTTTCGATACCCGTGGTGGGCAGAGCAAAGATAGCCTATTGCTCAGACATCAAATTTTGACTTTGCATACAAAACGTTTCCCCAATGAAAGTTACAAAAATCTGATAAATGGTCGTTGAATTATCTGCAATCACATTATTCTGACATGGGTCTCAATTTCATTGAAAAGCCTGGGGATGTACTGAATTTGTAATTAGTCCTTAACAAAACAGTATAAATGTATTGAACGTATGAATGGCTGCTAAATTTAGGAATTCATCCAGGCCCTGCTCACAGTTCTAGAAAGTAGTGAATCAATATGTCAAGGAAATATCTTTCAAATTTGTCTCAGATTGAAAATTTCAAATGTATACGAAGATTTCGAAATAGCAGAATGCATCTATAAAACATTTGTTATAGAATAAAACTTATCGTATCTGACACTTTGCATAATTGCTTAATTACAGGATTCGTAGTAAAAAAAAGTGAAGTTATAAAAATAAGTCCGCAACACCTCTTACCTCGTAGGCGCTGGTGAGTCCAAGATTGTAAAAGATGGGCATATATAGGTAAGCAGCAGCAGGGATGACCAAAATGAAGCTAAGACAAATCATCCAATATTGAGTACCATAAAGGTACATCTCAGCCGGAGTTCCCAACAGTGTAATGGCCGACATGAAACTTGCTAACACAGACATGGCCACAGGAAACGTGCGCATGGCCCGATTCCCCATCAACAGTTCTTTGGTTGTGTTGGTCTTGTTTCCAGAACAAGCATAATAAATTCCAATGGCTGCTGAAGCAACCAACATAGAGCTGAACACCAAGTAATCCGGCCATCCGAATCTGTTAATTAATTCTTGGGGGTTGATGTCCTTACTTTCATCCTTCAAGGTGCTTACTAGAAGAGTGGACACTGTTGGTGTAGTGGACATAGTGTGACACTGTAAGAATGGACAAATATCAGTTATTAGAATTACGAAAAACAGAAACACATGATTTTCTATATACTATAACTATTTGAAGTGAAACATATATAACTTTGGTTTTATGAAAACTTAAACAACCTTCTGAAGATCAGCTACCACACCTGAAATGGTTGTTGCAGACCGAACGTTACTGCAGAGTCTTAAGCTCAGAAGTAGTTTCTTGTAATTAGGCTGTATTCTCTCGACCTATTTAAACTTACTGATACTGCCACATTTCTAGGAGCGCAATTAATAACAGTAGCTACGTTCGGTAGAACGACAATTCAACACAAGAGTCCTAGATTATAACTTTTACACAGGTTGTCATGCGAGCACGTGAATCAAACCGGTTTCTGGTTGGACAAGGGCAAAATGATCTATTCCTATCCTGGTTGGATAGATATGTTGTGAAAGGAGGTGTTTGGATAACATTAATTAATCGTAAATTATTAAGGTGTAAAGGTGATAGGCGAACAGAAACTATGAAGAAAAAGATGAATTATTTAAACACCTTATATTTATAATAGACGGCCAAAACAGCACTGTTCCTTAATTATATATTTTTCTTTGCCTTCTATTCAAACCCAGTTTCTTATCTTATAAGAATGTTTTACTGTATATAATGTAACTAAACAGAAGTAACCAGTATTCAGACGTTCAAATGTTTATAGATAAAATATGATTTGTTCATTGAGTTTTCTTTTTTTGACAAATAATGAACAGCTTTTTAGCAGTTTATAACTTAAAACGGTGAGTTTTGGTAACGAAAGGTTAAAGAGCGTATATAAAGTTAAAATATCATCATTTTATAGTCATTATTTTTCAAAATTGTTTGTTTGTAATTAAGTACAAGCTACACAATGGGCTATCTGTGCTCAGTCAACTACGGTTATCGAAACCCGGTTTCTAGCGTTATAAGTCCCCAGACATTTAGGGTCGTAGTATAAAGATTAAAGTGTTGTTTAGCTTCTGCAAAAATTGTATGATTTTCGTGCTATATATTTAAAATACCATAAGGACTAATTTTAAATTTTATTGATTTCGAAAGATCAAAGTGTGTGCAATTAACTTAAAGATTAGACAGATAAAGTAAAGAAAAGCAGACTAACCAAACGCTCCAAAATTAACTGATATATCGTGTTTGGATCTCTGATTATTATCGAAATAGTTTGTTTGTTTGTTTTTTGAACTCCGCTCAAAGCTACACGAGGGCTACCTGCGCTAGCAGTCCCTAATTAAGCAGTGAAAGACTAGAGGGAAGGCGGCTAGTCATCACCATCCACCGCCAACTCTTGGGCTACTCTTTTACCAACGAATAGTGGGATTAACCGTCACATTATAACGCCCCTACGGCTGAAAGGGTGAACATGTTTGGTGTGACGGGGATTCGAACCCGCAACCCTCAAATTGCGAGTCGAACGCCCTAACCACCTGGCCATGCCGGGCCTCCTGCATAGTACCAAAATAATTCAGTGTACAGATGTAGGCTTAATGTACCATGTCGGATCTGTAGTACTAACTCAAAATATCACATCATTAGTTCCATAAGAAACGGAATATTCTTGTTTCCTTGTCGAGCGCCCTAACTACTTGGCCATGCTAGGTCTTATCGAAACAGACTAATCTAACTCCGAAAAAATAACTGATATATATACTATACACTGACTTTTGATTATTATTGAAACTGACTAATTCATATCTCTTAAATCAACTGATATTTGCTATGTATTGACACGTGATTATTACCGTTATATAACCATATACCTCCAGGTGGCGTGCTAGCGAAATATTTGGAATAAGTTGGAATTTCGAGAACTAGTTTTTCATTTCTTCATAAGAATGTGTTAAAACACATCCTATCAGATTCATTTTGGTGTAACAGCTTTCATTACACAGCTCTAAACTTTTAAGATATCTTTCATTGTAGTTTCTATTGGTTTGCTGCACTAGACATAAAATATTGGCTGTCGAATAAACGTTTCCTACTACAATTTCAAATGTAGGTGTTTATTGCTGTCGGAACAGCGTGAAAATGATAAAAACCATTCCAGGTGAGTATATTTTCTTTTTTTAACCCTATGAGATAATAGGGGGGCTTCATTATTTTGAGGTTAGGCTATTATGCTATATTCTGAGATGGCTGTCAAAATATAATTTTTTAAAGACGACTTCCTAAAATTGGCGGTATTGTCCTTGGTTACGACTCCACTTATTATTACAATTATTTTTGTATCTGTCTGAAGTGAAGAAAAGCTTTTCCCAAAGCTTATTATCCTTTTGAAAACCATGAACCTGTCGCGGCATCTAGTGTTGCTGAATGTAATTAAAGCAAAAAAGAGAATAAAGACAAAGAAATAAAAAAAACGTAGTATACCTTTCGTATTTGAAGTAAATACTTGCTGTTACTTTTATGTTCAATAAACGCATATACAACATTTACACTAGATATTACATTAATAATAATCAGATAGTAAATTCTTATAACTGATAACTATACAATGTTTGGTTGTCACGGAATCTATCATTTTAATCCACTTTTTTACACTTTGTCCTTTCAATAAAACAATAAAACACCATAATAAATACCACAGCCTTTTTTGCTATCTTAGAATGGGCTGATATGATTTCTCAAAGATATTATTGTAGGATCATTTTATCATCCATTCTCCCCCCCCCCCCCCCGGTTTTCCAAAAAGACAATAAAACAAACACAAAGTCGGTATATTTTCCGATGGACTTAAAAAGTAGATTTAAAAATTTATTCTTTACCACAATGATATGTTTTCAAAGAACAATAACAGAGAATTTTTCACATAATTTGTAAACTGCTAAATAAAACTTTTAGAACTTAGAACTTTTAAATTGATAACATTAATGTAACTTATACAAATGACATGCCTTGTTTTCCTTTTTATTAAACGTGATATTTTCTCGATAACATTTAGTCAGCAAGAGTATATTTTTCATTATAAGTTAAATAACTTACCATTCGCAATGGTAAGCCAACGAAACCAACACCAACTATTGAGTTTAGTTGAGAATCAGGGTGTGTTCTTCAAGAGCGCATAATAAACATCTTATGTTCTCGCAAACTTTTCAAACCAAAATTAGTTTAAATCTTCAAGATAAAACATAAAACGAAATGAAAATTATGCTTGAATAGTTTGTAACTTAAGAAGATGTGGTGTTGTCGAATTCTAATGGTTTGCTTATACTTTCGGTTACAATCTTATCTTTTTCCAACTCCAACAAATATTTAATCAGTTTTATTTCCCATGTAAACCATATTTGGTTATTTAGTTATTTACAAAATACTTTTTCCTATAATTTGATATATGGTTAACCTTGTTAATATGATCTTCTTTGTCCAGAATTAGTAGCTTATTTCTTTTATCTCGTTTTGATATAATAGAGACAACACGTTTTACAAGTTTAATGAATGGCTTGCATTCTTTTTGACATATTGTGAGATTTCTTTCCCGACAACACTTGATATCCGATCGCCATAACCTGTGGCGTTAGTACTCTATGAAGCAAACATAAAGATTTATTTTCACTTCTATGGCTCTTTCACGAAACGTCCTCTGCCAAATACACTCTTTCGTGTCCTCAGTCTTCTTCTAAAACCGATTTGGTATTCTGATAGCTCACTCTCAACTTCCTATTGAACTCTACTGAGGATTACTTTTAACAATACTTTTGAAGTGTGACCGAACAAACTGATAATTTTGTATTGACAACACTCCTTAGCCTAAGGTTTCTTGGGGATCGGCACAAAAAAACAAAAACAAAAAAAAACAGGCTTTTTAAGGTCTGCTGGAATTCTCCCTCCTTTATAACTTAAGTTACAAATTGCAGCCAGTAATTTAATCATTAAAGCGTCATTTTGGTTTAAACATACAACTGCAATCTCGTCTATGCCGCAAGAGTTTCCCCTTTGAATACTTGTAATGTTTGTTTGTTATAGATTTCGCGCAAAGCTACACGAGGGCTATCTGCGCTAGCAGTCCCTAATTTAGTAATGTAAGACTAGAGGGAAGGCAGCTAGTTATCAACACCCACCGCCAACTCTTGGGCTACTCTTTTACCAACGAATAGTGGGATTGACCGTCACATTATAACGCCTCCACGGCTGAAAGGGCGAGCATGTTTGGTGTGACAGGGATTCTAATCCGTGACCCGCAGATTGCGAGTCGAGCGCTTTAACCACCTGGCCATGCCGGGCCTACTTGTAATGAATTTCTTTTTCCCATTTCCAGAATTGTTGAGCCATTGTCTATCGGATCTACTACATTTTTATACTACTCTTTCACAAACTCTGATAACCCGTCTTTAACATTCTCAATTTCCAAAGCTATCTTGTCGTCTTTGCTTTTGATGGCTTCACTGGAAGTCTGGGTAGGTTTTCCTTTCAACTCTTTACCACTGTTAAGTGTTACTTTGCATTCCTCAATTTATGTACATTTTTTTTTATTCAGCTTGTCATCCTTTGCTTGTCTACACAAGTGCTTGATGTCTTTATCTAAATCTATATATTCTTATCCACCTCTTTGTAGTTGTCTTCTTTCGTTCATCTTTTTAAAATCTCGTAATTCATTGAGATTTTATTTTTAACCTCTTCTTATTCTCTTTCAGACACTGTTCTGACCTACTTTCTGTAGTACATCTTTGAACTAAACACACTGGTTCTATACAATACTGATTGCAAGGTCTTCTGTAATTAACATTTTTAATCGGGTTCTAGTTTCTATTACAAAGCCTATAACTATATTTTTAGTGTCCTAAGTTTTATTCTGCCTTGTGTAAGACATAATTGTTCGTCTTCTTCATTTTAGTCTGATTTGCCTGACCAACGGGTTGTGATCAGAGCCACAGTCTGCTCCTGGATAAGTTCTAACTATTGTGATAGAGTTTCTGAAACGTTATTTAACCGTCTGATTTCTCCTTTTTTTCTCTCCTGTGGTGATCCACAATCA